GTTTCAATCAAGAGCCATTGTGGCTCTTGTTTTAGCCTGCGTAGCAAGCGTTTCCGTTTGGTTTCGGAGCAAAAAGAGACTGTGGAAGGGGATTTTCGGTTTTGACCGCGCGAGAAACAATACGAGAACCATCCCCCTCCGCTCTCTTTTATTTGCGCCATTTTTTGCGTGGTCTTTCACTCTTGTTCCTTGTTCTTTGCTCCTAAAAGGCACAGAAACGCCTGCTACGCGGGCTACTCTTGTTTCAATGTCATTGTTTTTTTCAACTTTTTCTGTAAAAAAAGACTTAGCAAAACTTGTCTAACTGTCTCAGCGGTGTTGACGCATTTCCGCCCGCCAAATAATCCTCATCTAGACTTGATATATCTAACTGGGAAGCCAATCCCCGGGACCAAGGTTGAACAGTTATGTCTAAGGTGACAAAGGGGTCCCAATGCTACCTTTTCCTAGGGGGGTCGTGGGAGCATGCTTCTTTAAAAAATGAAATCTTGAAGCTCACATATGCTATTTCCAGCATTCTGAAAATAAAAAAAGAGTGCTGTTTGTTGGATTTTTAAAATTGACTTTTCAACAAGTTTTTTGTAAAGAAAGTCTTATCCCAGTGGCCCTATTAATCAGATAAATTGCTATCCAGGCAAACATAATGCACCTTGCCTACCCCCCAAAACTTTGCAGAACCCCCGGGGGGGTACTTCCATACATTACCTATACGGGTATGTGCCGCCCAATGGGGTCATGATTTTGAAGCTCCTGAGTTAGAACGGGGTATCCATTTCAGAGGCGTTTTCTATAACGGGGTACAAAAAATTGTGGATCACGGCTTTATCTTCTGCTTAAAATTGTTGCTGTTCATGAAGAAGCATTTATTTGATGTATAAGTCAAACAAATAAAGAAATATCTTTTTAAAAAAAACAGGACTATTTCAATTTACAAACTTTCTAGAACGGAGTATAAAAATTGGCCCATTTCTAGAACGGGGTATCAATTTTAGGGGAATTTTTTTTTAGAACGGGGTGCCAATTTGGAGTCCCGGGCGGCACATACCCACCCAAAAAATACCAAAGTGCCCCCACCCCCCGCGGAAGAACCATTGGCTTTAATTTATTTTTGGACGACTGTAATACCTAGGAGAAATTGGAAATAATGGTAGCCAAGGTTTTTCAACATCCTCGGAAGGTCTACGGCTGAAAAGAGTCCTCCCGATCCCGTTTAGAATCTCTCCCGCCTCCAATTCCTCCACCTAGTCAAATCTCGTCTTTTGCCTCCCCTCCCTCCTTTCTGCTCTCTTGTTCTCTTCTTGTACCCAATCCCCCTCCTACCAGGTGTGCTTTTCGGTGTGCTTTACTTTCACTTTTGGGAAAACGCAAAACAGAAGTCTTCCTGTCTCAAGAATTTAGCAGTTTAAGGAATGCAAAGGATCGACGAATGTGTATTTGAATATCCATACTGTAAAGCATAGAAACGGATCATTCGCCATGTCAGGTTTTTTCAGTCGACACAACAAAGCAATTGTCTGCACTCTGGCAGCGTCTGCAGGATTGTACTTCATCTATCGTTACTACATTTATAAGAAACAACAAATCAGATCTAGGGCGGAAGCTCTCGCAGGTATAGAGTATAGAAGAAGGAGAGTCGAAAAACTTGTGGAATTACGTGACAAATTGGTATGTATCTAGGGAAATGATTTTCATACATTTTTCTCTTATTGTTAATGACGGCACCGTCGTCAACAATACAAATTTTGACAACATATTTCATTATTTGAGCTTTTTCATTTCTTATCAAGTCTTATCTAAAGTGTAGGCCAATTTCTTTACAGAATCACCTAAAAACTAAACGTTTATTATATGAACTACAGTTAGATGTTGAAACTTTAAAAGTTGTGCAGAGATTTTACATACTTCAGACAATGAAGAAAAGTTTATAGAAGAGTTTTTAAATTTATTTATGATCTTTAAAACCATAGAAATGATCCAAATGTTTCAAACGGAAGAGAAACTGTTGAGTGGCTTCACTTAAGGGTTTCATTTCTATGTATGATCTGTAAGAATAAAAATAGTTGTTGTCTATTTGTTTTAAACAATACCATGGAAAATGTTATTGTCAGGCCCGGTTCAGATGCTGATCTTTTCATCAGCCGAACCTAATACATTGAATTAAGTACATGAAAAGTTCGGCGTCTGAATCAATTAGGAATGCCTGTTTCAATTTGGAACGGCTCAGCTGTTCTTTTTGCCTAGCCTGGCTGAGAATTACGCCTTTGGGGAGACTTTGGAACGGCTTTGATTCGGATGCTAAACTTTTCGTGTACCGAACCTAATGCATAAATTGCTATAACGTATTTTGTAAGCAGTTTGACCGAAATGAGCATTTTTTGCCATTTGATTTTAGTTTAGCTGCAATTAAGATCGGCGTCTGAATCAATTCAGCCGGTCTAAATAATTTGGGTTGGCCTTAATTTGAATTAGGTTCGGCTCATGAAAAGATTGGCGTCTGAACCAGGCCTAAGCATCCATTGTCAGTGACAGGCTACAGAACAAGCACATTTTTTGCATATATTAGTAATTATTGGAGACAACTGCAAGTCAAAACAACAGGGCCAGGTTGTTCAAAGCTAGGTTAAGATAACTCAGGGTTAGTGCAAAAAATTTGCTTTCAAATATAAAAGCTTGAAACACATTATCATGTTAAGATGGAATCCACCAGGAAATTGAGTAATTTTAATTCCCAGTGGACAAAAACCTTGTACCAAAATAATTTAAAGAATATTGCATTCTGGCCTAAGGAGGTACTTAGTCATCTGTAATAACACCAGAGACTATTTCTCATGGGAGCCCGAAAAAATGAATGTCAAATTTCACAAGAATTGTGAAAACACAGGTAAAATTCTGAAAATTTCATGTGTGAGATGTAATTTTGTGAAATTTCACATTTATTTCCTCAGGCTCCTATAAGAGATTTTCTTAGGTGTTATTACAGATGACTAATTACATCTTTAGCCCTTGAAAAATGTCAAAAAGAATGCGATATTGTTCAAATTATTCTGGTACAAGGTTTTTGTCCCATGAAAACTAAAATTACTCAATTTCCTGGTGGATTCCTTCTAATTCCTCTTGGCTACTATTATCTGAGAAAATCATTTTGGACAAAGAAAAGAAACACGAACCCGTGTCAGCACTAATCACCCTTCAAACTTTATTTTACTGGGCCCAGTTTTTTTGTATCCTACTTGTGCTTGAATTTGTGTTTTTATGTCAAGCATAACTCTGGCCCTAGCCTGTTACCACAGAGACTATACCGTACATCAGAGGCACCTCTGAAACTATCACATATATACTACAACCTTACAATGTACGTGTTACATGCAAACCTATAACCAATCAGAGCACAGACAGGGAAAGTATAGAAGATCAAATGCTGCGACTGAAGGGCCACTCACAGTAGAAAAATGGCAGAAATCTTAGAATGTGACTGACTGTAAATAGACTCTTAGTTCAACTCTAGTAGTTTATTCAGCCGTTACTACAAAAGTATGTGGTCGGAAAAAATACTGCACATGATAAATTACACATTAGGTACTCAACATGCATGACATAGAGAAATCTTTACGTTACATAATTATCATATGAGATTAGATACTGTTACAACTGACCAAACACAAACGAGCAAGAAGAAATGATGACATCAACAATCACATTGCTGAACACTATTTACAGACAAAACGTCATATAGACTGGGACTCTGCCACATGTTTTATGTATTCTACAAGGTACGATTCCCTTTTATAAGGTTTACTAACTTAGAACACATGCCACTGAATCATAGTAGGGGTGGCGAATGGTAAAATCCGAGACTCCCCGAGACGCCGAGATCCTAGTTAGAAATCTGAGCCCGAGACTCTTTAGTAAAAAGTTTCGAGACTCAAAAAAAGTAAAAACAAACCATGCTAAAACGAGACTTCGAGACTGATCAAAAATGCTTTTGAGATTTCGAGATCCTACCCAAATTTTTTTGGACCCACGTTTTTCCAGGTACCATTCGCCACCCCTCATAGTCAACAGTTACCTGCACCATACAAACGACTTAATGCCTGACTCAAACAAAGCTAACTTCGAGAGAATGACTGGACAACTAAAACAATTTGACTAACAATAAATGGCTGTTAAACTGTGACAATAGATGGATCGAAACGCACCATCACTTTACAAGTCTTCAAAGCCAATAACATTATGGCTTAACTGACAGACAACGAAAAACATGTTGACTTAATTGACTCATCAGATTAATAACCAGTGTTTAATACCATCAACTGATGTGATACAACTCACTTTGACTTGGAAGATGACTACTGCACAGGTTGTTGACACGTCAGTCATTGACTGTCAACAACATAGGGGTGTAAAGATTCATGTTCCTTGCGGTTCGATTTAATTTTGATTATTGCCTCTTGATTTCGATTATTTCAATTCGATTATGTAAATGTTTCTTAATTCTTATAACATAACACGTAATGTAAACAACATGCAACCCTAAACCCCCAATTATTTGAGAATAGCAGCAGGGACACGAGAATTCACAGTCGCTTGGGTCCTCGCCATGTTTGAGAACCTGACAAAGAGCGTGTCGCACATAGTTTGCCTTATTTGGAAATTCTCAAGGGGTGATTGAAGGACAGCATTTTTACCAGGCAACACAAAATGGCGCACGAAATGCTATCGTCTTTGCTCGTCAATCATAAACGTACAATTTAAAGCGTTCTGGATTCCGATTTAACAATATAATAACTCACTAAGGACACCCTGGAAGTTCGTGAATCAAACCGAACGGTCATAATCGCGATTAATTGAGAATTTGATTAATTGTTACACTACAACAACAACAGTCATACTCAGGACTACGTTCACCCGGGTGATCATACTCAACCTATGCATGAACTGAGTGATGTCTGGCATGCTGATTGATGGAGAGCTCTGGTCGATATGAGTGGGTTGAAATAATATTCTTGTAGATTATGGTAGGTCAACTCTCTCTATAAGATGGATACCTTGCTAATACGGACACCGAGAGTTGGTCCCTGCCTTTCTTTACACCTTTTAGTTGACTCTCTATAAGGCAGACATCTCTCTAAGACAGACGTATAGTACAGGTCCCATAGAACAGTTGACTGTATCACTTGATTGCCAGTAACTGTTAATTGACCCCAGAAAATAAGGCTGTGTGTAAAAGAAGGATGCTAAAATGGATTTTCACTATTGTCTTTTCTTTTCTCTTTCTTTCTTTTCTCGTCGTCAGTGTTATTCTTTTTCAGATCACCCCAACATTCTGGGAATCTGCCCACTCATCTCTCCCCTAACTTAACATCAACACTTTGTTCTAACTTAGGGCAAAATATTGGTTAGGGAAGGGGTAGGTCAACAGATTTCTGGGAACTTATTGTGGTAACTTTGTTTGTTCTTTGTTTAACAGGAGCAACTTCTTGGTTCATTAGACAATTTTGAACCAGAACCTCCAGAGACAGAGGATGATGAGGTAAGGCTCCTTAATGGTGTGTGGTGTATAGCGTAGAGGCAAGTTCTCCATTTCTGGTGAGCGAAGCAAGGCTCAAGTGAAATAAATGGGTGTGCGAGACAGCAAGGGGTGGAGGAAAAAATAATTCTCTGCCTTTCGTTCTTCTTTTACTTGCCACTCATGCATGACTTCTCGTGACCCCCCCCCCCTCCTAAATGGAGAGCTAGTTGCTCCCAGGCTAAGGTGTGTCACACAATTCAGTCGCCGGTATAGGCCACCAAATCTGCTGATGTAAAATTAATTGCTTCAGGTGGTAAAAAGAACCATTTCTTCGATGCACCAAAAAGAAAAGAAGGCACAAATTATTTAGTCTAACCATTGTTAAAGCTTATCTCAGATGTTATAAGATAAATTTTTCATTGTTGTATGTGGATTGGATTTGTTTATCATTTGTCTCTCGATGGCCACTTCGTTTTGATCACGACATTAAGGCATATACTCTCAACAGGAAGTGGTGTTGATTTGCTGATTATTCTGCTGAAGTCACTCAGAGACTTCATAGGATTATTTGCACTTTTTTGATGAATTTCACCTCTTTAAGTTTGTATATTATTTAGCCCGAGAAAACAGCCAACATTTGGTACACTACCACTGGTTTCTCCACCAAATGACGTCTGAGAAACGAGGGCAGAAATTCCATACGGATGACGCGCCACTACCCAGATCTGGGTAGTGCTTCTGATTGGTCGTGTCGCATAGAAAATTTGTTTCAACCAGTCAGAAGCACTACCCACATTTGGGTAGTGATGCATCATCAGTATGGAATTTTTGCGCTCATTTCTGAGATCTCATTTGGTGGAGAAACCAGTGGTAGTGTTGCCAAATGTCGGCTGTTTTCTCAGGCTATATATTATTTCCATTTTATGTTTTATGATTTCATATTTTCCTTTTCTTGTAGTGTATTGTGTGTAACAGTGCCAAGGCTATAATTCAAACATACCCCTGCAAACACAGGGTATTGTGTCGTCGCTGCTTTGTCAAGACATTACAGGTTGCGGTAAACGATCTTAACCTTCCCCTCAAATGCGTTGTTTGTCGCACAAGAATTCAAACCTTGGACAGAGAGCGCCACGATGTACATCTATTTACACCTCCAGATACACAGCAGCAGCCTGCACAGGAAACGCAATGTTAACAGACCCAAATCTAATTACAACTATCAAAACTCTTCAGGAATTAATAGTGATATTAATATTAGCTTGCTTTGACATTTGTATAAATTCAGGTAGTAAGGGTGACAAATTTACCAGTGCTAGACCTATTAGAAAGTAATTAAACCGAGAAATTCCTCCCATCAGGTGATAAAAAATGATTTTTTTCCATAAAATTATGTTGACCGCTCCTTACTTAAAGGTAAGGCTAAAAGAATGCAGTATTCAGTGTCATCTTGAAAAAAAAAATACCCCCAAAAAATAAACACACCAAACTAAAAAAATTGTAAGGCATTCTCATTAAAATGATAAAATAGATGTGACTTAACACTAGTTAGAAGTGCACAGTGCAAAATGAGATTGTGAAAGCTGTAATCACGGTAATGTAGTCTTTTCTTATTAAATGCGGAAAAACAGAATCAACACGGTTATTTGAACGAACAGAAACGAATGACAATATAACCTATAAACCTACGAGATTGTACCTTTTAATTAAATACCCCTTTGGTTTCGTATGATCCAACAAACATGACATGAGTTGAATGTTGTATTTTATTAGTCAAGCTTGCTTTAGAGCGCTTTTCACTTGACTGTCGTAAAACCAAAACCAAAGTAAATACACTAGCCAACCAAAGGGCGTAGTAAAACCAAAACCAAAACCAAAACCAATCCCTTTCGACAGTCAAGTGAAAACCGCTCTAGCAGCAAGACTAAAAATGCAAGCGTTTCCTTTTTTTTTCTTTTCGTGTGTGTGCGCTGAAAGAGCTCATGGTCCCAGGCATTCCTAGCGGGAACCATGGAAACTGGGGATAAATATCGAGACGTGACCTATAGCTGAGCATATTCAAAAAATATCAAGCTTTTCCAGAACAGGTTGGTCCACGAATTCTATTGCTTGAAAGCGTTAATTACTTTGGATTGACTGAATACTTCATTGGTCAAAAAAGAGAAGAATCTTTATGTCTTTGAGCAACACTTGAGCAAAACTTCAAAGGTGAGGCTAAAGCTAGTTGGGTGTTGTAAACTTTCATTGTACACAGATAAGTCTTGTGATGTGCATGCGGGTTTTTTTTGGCAATGATTCAATATCGATGCGCCATGTTCATCACGTTTTGCTCTTTGGTAATGATATAGTTTCTGAAGTTATGAATACACACACACAGAGAACTGCAGGGTAAAGAATAATTTTATATGAAGGAAGATCATCGCAGTTATAGACGCAACTATTGCAGTTGCAAAAAGAAAAGAAAGCCTGAAAACCAATTCAACTTCCTGCCACCAGTTGGCTTGTTAGCTGAGCTGGTAGAGCCCTGCATCAGTATCGCAGAGGTCAAGGGTTCAAATCCTGTACAAGCCTGAAGTTTTTCAGGCTTTCGTTTTGCAACTGCAAAAGTTGCATCTATAACTGCAATGATCTGCTTTCATATCATTCTTCACCTTGCAGTTCTCATATATAACTTTCATGTACCGTAAATCCTCTATTAAGCCCCCTCACTCAAATAAGCCCCCTTCCTCTTAAAAGCCCCCCCTCCCCTCCCCTATTTATTCTTCACTAATAAATGATGGGTCTGTATTAATCAACCACGACTGTAAAACTTCATGTAGACTGATCCGGAAGGGTTTACTTACCAACTGGAAGATCGGATTTGATTCTGATCCTCGGCTGCATGACCTAAAACTTCTTGTACTTGCGCTTTTCCTCTTTGTATTCTAGTTCTTTATAGGAGTAGCAATACTCCTAGGCTTGCTTCATGCTATGGAAACCGGAAATAAGTGTCGGCCGTGTGGGTCTTTGACTTGTGTGTGCCTTTACCTTTACCTAATTTCTTATCTAATCTCCAAGCAACAAGCTTGACTTAATGCTTTTCAAAGAGCATTCTTTTTAAGTCTTGAAATTTGTTGCTTCATTTAACTATCACAAAGTCACAAAGTTCTCCAATTTGTTCTAATTAGTTCTCTCTGATAACACAGCATTACATCCCAGCCTACCCAGCTTTCTCGTCATGCTTTATTGAATGGTTCTGAATGTTTTGTTTTTCCATTTCAAACAAAAGACTCGCAAGACCCTGTGTTGTTTAATTACTTTCAAAAAAGCTTTAATTATCACAGAAGTTTTGATTATTATGATTAATCTGAGTAACAGATCTAAGAACTTTGCGTTATCCAGCTTGATCTGTAATCTGAAGAGGAGATTCAAAATCATCTCACAACAACAGTCTATGAGCATCCAGAAGGGTTCAATGTCAACATATTGCCCTCATGTGGTCTAGAAAAAGAAGGGCAGATGCACCCACAAGTTTGTTTATTTAGCAGACTCCTGTGTTATCTGTTTCTTTTGAGGAGAATGTTTAATAGGTGTTTGGGTTTTCTGTGTACTTTTACTTTCTTGACTATCAGTACTTTTAGATTTCCATGACTGTCCTCCCTCTTTTTTCAAGACCTTGCTCCCTAATTGTCCCTCCTGGCTTTCCGCAACATCTCCATTTGCACCCCTCTCTGAATGGCCCTCACAGTTGCCATGGGTAACCTCATATACAGAATCCTTAGAGTTTGCAACTTTGCTGCTATCTTCAATTTGTTTATTTTTCCTCTTTTTATTATTTTTTGACTGTCCATTATTA